ATGTTTCTCAGTTCGGTTTATGTATTTACTTCAAATTGTTTTACATGTAAATGACTTACATCATCCTCTTTTGATATTGTTTTGTTTTTAATTTATTATTTTCCATTATTCCAAGTAAATCGTGTCATTTTTAATTTCAGACGAAATTAATCATTTCTCTGCTTGTCTGTCTGTCCCCCTCTCTCTCTCCCACTCGCCCTCTCTGTCCCTATCCCGAACAAATGCGAATCAAGAAGTTCTAGCATTGTGATAATGTAGCGTGCATTCTGCCACTTTTCTGAACTACGTCCATTTGAAGCAAAACATCGTGCAAAAACTCTTATTACAATTTACACGTCATTGGTCATAACTAATAACGGGGAGTCATAACTAATAACGTTTTTTAATTCCGCTTTGAAAAACCTTTCTAATATGAATATTATCTCCTTCCATTTCACGTACTTGGGCCCACTGTCCTTCCGGGGCGCAGCTCGGGCGCTGACATCTGTGCGACCAGATGCACAACTCCACTCCAGGGCCTTAGATCACGCGCCAATCTCGGTAATTTGAGTTCGCGTTGGAGAAAAGAAGGTATACTCACATTACGCAGACCGAAGGACGTGAGCTGTCAGTTGGTGAATCATTTCATGACGGGAAACAGAAAGCTCAGTTATGCTCAGTTCCAGGTCTCGGCTAGGAGGCATGTGTACAGCGGAGAGCAAATACATGTACGACTTTCAACAGAACGCTTACAATCTGACGCCTTAAAGGCATAGCGATTGGGTGATTAACGCTCCATGGCACGTCAACTGCTATGGTCATTTCGCCTGTTACTGTCTAGTGAATGTTTTATCCCGAGAGGTGCCGGTGTTTCCCGTCCGCTGGATGATTAGATCTGGCATCGGCTTGCGGGTTTCCCCATCCAGGTATCTTCCCTTCCGCGGCTACCGCCCGGGACAAGTTCTAAGCTCCCGACACGGTGATCGTGAAGTGCATGTGTGTCTTAACACTGCCCGCTAGTATGCATGTGGGATAAGTAAGGGTGAGGAAGGTAAAAAGGTCGAAAAGATGGCGCGCGGTCTGTGGCACTTTTGGCAAATTTGCAATCGCCTGATGTTGATCGGTGTTATCACGGACAAGTACCAGTCAGAGCAGCCGACCGCTAGAATTCTCCTCGCACAGCGACTAAACTCGACCTACTGACAAGATGGTGTCGAAATTCCTGACACCGCCGGGACTCGAATCAATGACCTCTCGGTCAGAGAAACAGCAGAATGAGTTAATTGGGGCTTGGGCTGCATCTTCCAGGTGAAAGCTAGTGCGAATTGAAGAGTGTGTGAAATATAACAAAAAAAATCGCTATTTAATAGCCGCGTACCAATGCCGTTTCCTACACGAGATCACCAATAGGGTGCCCAGAATAAATTGCAAAATAATCAATTAAAACATTTACAAATTTAAGAACTCTCGCTCTTTTGGTGGAATACTTAAGCTGCACTCGTTTTGAAGAGACCATGGATTGGACTTCACCCTCCCCCCAGTGGCGTATCCAGGGGTGTGTGGGGGCTACGTCTCCCTTGGCCAAAAGCGTAGAGATATTGTATAGTATCATGCAATCAGTGTAAAAATAATACAAAATATAATAACAAATGTGTTTATTATTTAACAAACATCTACGACCCCATCAGCCGCAAATCGACTGGATCCGCTCTGCCCCCCTCTTCCAGGCAATTTTACAACCGTTGACGCAAAACACCGTCGAGGGCAGGGTTGTCCAACCTGTGATGCCATTTGTTGTGGCCCGCGATAGGATAGCACGGCTTAGCAGGGCTCGGGTTTTGATGACCTAAAATTTCTTTGAAAATGTCCCATAAAATGACTTAAAAATAAGAGAATAATTACCTATAAAATTACTTAAAAATAAGGGGACAATTGCTTATTAAAAAAATACTCAAAAATGTGTATGAACATATTTATTTATTCAAATAATTATTATATTTATTGTCAAATAAAATGTATTTATATAACTTATATTTAATATAACGTATTTATTTAGGAGGTAATGTAATCCTAAATGATAAAAATCACGCGTACTTCCAGAAAAATGACCTAAAAATTGAAAAATGACAAAAATGACCCCAAAACTATACATTTCTATCCCTTATAAGTCGTGATGAACATTCATTTACAAGATAGCTACGTCTAGGATGCACCAATGACGAGATGGCATGTCATCAGTATCCGAGCCCTGGTTATTAGTCAGAAGGCGAAAACATCCATGTCAGGCGAGAACTTCGCGCCTAGCGCACGCGCCCGGTCGTGTTCAACGCTCCTTAATGTAAAAATAATATATTGTTTAGATTAAAGATCTTTCTATTAAATTCAGAAATTCAAAATCATCCGAATGTGTTTCACTGCGTTATTCACGGTGCGGCCTAATACCACGCACGATTTGGTCCCCCCCCCCGAATCAGTGAACCTTGGCAAACGGCGATCAACATTACAGCGTCACGTGGGGATCACCCGAGAATTAGACATATGGCCGGCAACCACATTAAAGGTTGTACTTGTGAACAGTGGGGCCTTGCAAGTTGGACACCCCTGGTCTGTCTGTTTTTTTTTCATTTTTTTTTTTTTAATAATGCTTCTTCTTTAGGAAAACCATCTGAAGCTTTCACGACTGCTATCCCATCTAGCGGCGCAGCGCGGCGACTGACAGCGCGCCGGAAGCGCTGCCGGTGGCCGGAAGAGGAAGTGGGCGTCGTCGTCAACGTGTTCGTACAAGCAGCGCGCGAGGCAGCCAGCAGACGTGGCTGGGCCAGAGCGTCTCAACGAAACGAGCCTGCAGATCTAGAGGCGGACCGATTTACTAGGTGGCTCAGGGCTTCAACTGAAGTCACCGCAGTCCCTTCTACCAGGAAATCCTGAGGAACTAATCTCGACGGTGACAGGGTTTTCAATACTAGCTTGTCAGTCACTGTCTGGAGGACAATTCTAGAAGATGGCTGCTCTGATCGGAAGTTCCCTGTGGTTTCTCCGATCAACACCAGGAGAATGCGGGAGCAGTACAACTAAGAAACTAGCCTCCCCCCCCCCACGTCACATACAGTGTTTACTGTTTTTTTGACTGAATAAATGTAAATCTAAACGGGCCACGGACCGCGCGCGATCCTTCCTCTCTCTTCCTTCTCCTAACCACACCCCTTACTCATGCTTACAGTAACACGCACTACACTGTCCAACGTGCCGGGAGAGCTGTCGGGAGCTTAGAGCTTGTCCCGGGCGGTGCGGTGCCCTGCTAGTGGGAGATACTTGGTTGGGGAAACTCCCGCTAACAGACCTGTAGGTCGTCGCCGGATCTCATCATACAGCGGGGGAAGTTCACTGCCACCTCCGCGATAAAACATACTCACCAGGGGCGGATCCAGCCGATCATTGGGGGGGGGGAGGATAATCGTACGTTTTTTGTTAAATATTAAACATATTTGTTATTATATTTTATATTATTTATGTACTTCAGATATGACACTATACAATATTATTGTTTAAATAATTACATAATTCGAACATAAATTAATATTAAAATAAATTTTGCCAAATAAAGGATGATAAACGAAAAATCTAGGCCTTTTGGGGGGCCATGGCCCCCATGCCCTCCTCTTTGATCCGCCAGTGTGCATACAATTACGTGACTAATGGCCTTGGGAAACACTAATCAATTAATCAGCCAGTCAATGTACGGGACGAATTCAGGGAAGAAGAAGAACAAAATCAGTTTTTGAGAAAGTATTGTTTACATATTTCTTTTGAATTATTTTACTTACGATTAGGGGAAAACTACCCACATTTAATAAAAAAGGCAGTTGACAATAAAGAACTAGTTTTGAAGAACAACTTTTATTATGAAAAAGTTTTACCTTTAATTATGAAGATGAAGAAAGTTGTTCAAAAAACTTAAAAATTCGAAAATTCAGATGTTTTACTGAAAATCAGATAATATCAGGTAATTTATTACGCCTGATACTGTTTTATGCTTTTCCTGTCTGGTGTAACGCAGCCCCAACAACTACCAAAAAGTTTTCAAAAGCAATGAGTATTCACGATGACAGCCAGCAAACACGTCCTCATATCACAAAAATTTCTCATACATTGTTTTCAAAATCTAGCCAGAGGTTCAGCTTCAGCTTTCACCTACGTAGAGACCAACCCGCACAACCTCTTATTCGCAATTGACTCCCTCCTTCATCTTACACAATCTGCTGTTTTTGCTTATGCTGCTAATGCAAGCTGATTGAGAAAAAATGTCCGGGAATTTCGATGTATCAGATATTTTCATTCCAGATGATATTCTGGAAGAAGCAGAAGCCGCCGACTCTAGTTTGATGCCTTCTAAATCTGTAAGGACTAATGAGAAAGCTTATGATTTATTTTGTTGACGAACGAAAAGGAATGTTCGAGGCATTAACGAAGACATTGTGCTAGCATACTACTTTCATTATATCTGTAGCAAAATAACTGTCAAAATTATTATTTCCCAAAAATTGTGTTTTGTGTCAACGTTATATTTATGTCAAGATTATGAGCACTGATAAAATCTAAACTCAAAAGTCCGCTCAAATGTTTTTGATGCATTTTAATGCTATGGGCGCGCTTTTAAAGCGTTGTTTAGAATTTAGTTGTTAAGTGACTAATTTCGTGTTTACCAAAGTACATAAAAACAATTTTTTTAAAAAAAATACGAAAACTTTTAAATAACATATATCTAAACCAAAATTCGACATCACAAGCGCGAGTTATAAATCGCTACTCATAGTATGCACCAGACAACAGTTCTATTGAAATAATCCTTCTTCTTCTTCTTGAAACGAAGAAAAAAAGTAGAAAGTGAATAGCTGTGGTTGAAAAAAAACAACAAACAAAACAGTTATACAGAATGCAGGGTAATCAGTCAAGAATCAAGAACGCATACATAAATAGCCATGTATTTATCATAATATTATTTATATGCTAGTACAGTACATATCAGTGAACACACAGGGTGACAATGAGAGTCACAAGTTCGACTGATCCACAGATATCCCTCGTCGAACGGCATAGGGTACACTACGGTATCACAAACAGAAACGGTTTACATACATGCGAAAATTACGCAATTGATTAGGGAATGGGATATTACAATATTTGTGAACTTTAAGTATCGATACTAATTCATTCGATACTGGTGGCATGGACATAGATAATGAACAATTATAATATTGTAACATTCCAAAATTGTTGTTTCAATACATATAGCGAAAAAATAACAGCTGTAAAGTACATTCATTGTTACAATCACTTTCAGTTAATATATAAAAATATACCTATTTGAAATAATAAATATAGAGAAAATGTATGTTAATTGTAAATACACTTATAATAAAATATTATTCATAATTAATTGGAAATACATATAATCAAATGTATTAAAACAATCTGAAAAATATTTGAACATTTAAAAAATACATATATCTTCCTACATTTTAAATCGTGTGATCGGTATCCCGATATTTTAATTTCGATAATTTCAAGGCATCGATACTTTGTGTTATTGGGAATCGTCTTCGACGCCAATTCTCGTTCTGAATCTTTCAGAGCAACATACAGAAACGGGATTCCTCACACTGAAGGGATAAGTCGCACAGCGTACGACAGATCAAAACGGAGAGACAAGATCCGATGCAAAGCATAATTTGCTTCTTCCTCGATGTGTGGTAATCATTACTGGATAACATTATTACAAAATAACATACTCTTTTAACTATATATGAGTTTTGCTAGAATAAATACACCGACGTATGTCGAAAGAAAGGTATAATTAAATTGTTTGGGTTATCAACTCATTCTCTGAATCGTGATTCTTTTATTCATTTAGTGTAATAGATTTAAAAAAATGGGGTACCATAAAAGTGAAATTGTTCGTTTAAATAAAAACCTAAATATTTATAAGTTATATTAAATTTGTAAATTAAATTAAATACCTAAATGAAAATACGCCATTCAATATATTTAAAAATGTGTTGTAACATTAATTAGTACCCACATATTTCTACAGTATTTTTTATAGATTGCTTTAAAACTACTACATTAAATACTTTCATATTTTTTTCTTAAGTACCTTTTTCTACCGTATTTTGACTTGAAAGCGATGTGGACCGCACTGGTTTACTGGGTCTGAGAACTAACCCATAAGGCGGGTAATCATAGATGTGTTGATAATTTTGTAAATAAAAGATATATTTTAATTCTGTCTAAAATTGTGCTATTACATTGATTAATACTCATGCATTTATGAGGTTGTAAGAACATGGGCTTTTCTTGGCAACTCATTTCCTACTAAATCGTAATTATTAAATGAATTAATAATGCTAAAACGGGAAATTTGTACCATTAAATTAACTGCTATTAAAGTATAAGAAATACATTATATTGAAACCAAAAACTATTATATTTTACTCAGTCAGTAGACTCAGGTGTGACTTGTCTCATTAAATTCCAATAAAAACGATTCCCTGTAACTTTATAGACCTTACTGGATTTGATGTTTTCTCTTGATCAGCCATTTAACAGTTTTAAAATTCTTGTTGGGTGGCATGAATACAGTATCTAGATATTGTAAGTAATAAACTAGTTGTTATCTAATCCTTTACCCGACTTTTGTCAGTTCAGACTTGTAGTTCATCCTTCTAATATGATTTTGTAGTTTCTCCAGTTGCAATTTTAGCAAGACAATCATCCGACGTGCTTGCAGAACTGAGAAAATTTTTATCGCAATAGGCTGACATTTTGTTCAAATATACGGATTGTACAGCTATCTTTATGTCCACCTCAATGCAAATGCGTTATCTATCTTAATTTTACTTAACTTACACCTACAAATTGATATTTATATGAGACACTCCGAAGGTGCCAAAAACCAATAGGGTAGAAAAAAGAAATTTAATATTTACAATACTTTATGATACGAAAATATTGAAGAACTTATTATATCACATGTATCACAAATGTGTTTCTGTTAATTCATATGACAAAAATGTTTGCTTCGTATATTATGCACATTTAGGCAACAGGTGTTATTGTCCAAATATGTTAAGTGTGATTGGCATCATCCTTAAACAATTAAGTACTAGAACTAACAGTGGTCACTGGACCACTGACGACGACTCTATTCCTGTAATGCCAATGACATTAAAATCTCAACATCATATCCAGAGCACAGTGTGCTTTACGAAGTTGAAAGCTGAACTGAAACGAAACAGTGCTGCAGAAACATGGTACATATTGATTACTGTTACAACCCATTTTTACAAGAAATTAATTCGATTGATTTCATTATTACTAACATAATCGATGATGTCCCGTAATGACACAAATATTACATCGATGTCATAATAATTTGTTTCCAATTAAAGAGTGAAATAGAGGTTTACCCACTCGGAGAATAAATATTTGGCGCTAGGTATATGACATATTTACACTATGCAACATCGTATGCTATGAATCATTACAATTAGTGCTGATTTTATAGTAGTGAACGGGAAAAGCGTGAATTAAAGGATCTACAATACAGTCTTTCGCTTGCCCAATATTTCGTTCGGTTCAAAATTGGAGCTTTTGAACATTATTTTCCTTTGTGCATCGCTTCTTGTCCACAGATACATTCGATTGTTTTACTCGCACCTTAACCAACACGACAAAACTTATCACAAGTCGTCAGTATGGAGTTATCAGGAAAAAGAGAAATTAATAATAAATAATAGGCGGTACTTAATGTTTTAGACAAAAATACTCTGCTATAAATAATTGGTCACTGTATGATTATTGTGTTTCGCAAATAGAAAACTAAGTTTCTAGGATTCAGTTCTACTATTATTACAGATCCTTAGTGATCTGCTAGACAATTTTCAATATTTTTATTTAAAAACCTATTAATGACGGTTTTACATTCAAAGTACCGTAAAAATGTATCTCTTTATCCCATTTGCGGTTATGTTCCTAACGTGTGTTCAATAACTATTATTATATATTTTTTATAATAATATTGAGACTACGCTAGCTTCACTAGTAGTAAGACCTTGTGAGATCGCTGATTCTTCTACAAGATTCTGAAGCAATCGGATTGTAGCACGCGTCGTGCAGTCAATTTATCGTTTGGAACAAAGGAATTCCGCAGGAACATGCTAACCCGATTTTATGGTAACCGTTCAATGAATTTTTTCTATCATCTCTGTTTGAAAAACTACTCGTTCTGTTTATCCAGGCACATTAAAGTTTTACAAGATTATGATTGCGAACTAATATTTCAGATTAGGCAAACATTATATCTCACTGGAATGGAAAATTCACATTAACCGATTTAAATTCATTGGACTTCTTTTACAAATTTAGATTGTTATTAGAGATTAGTTTTTATTCATGAACATAATTATTTATACTAGTACGTGAAATTCGCTGAACATACTCCTTTCAAACAATGTAATTATTCTTTTTCGCTTGGTGTCATTACAAACATTTTTAAAATATCCAAAAAATTCTCTAGCAAATATGTATACAATTAAAGAGATTGCACTTTCACATACAATTTTAATTCAACACGTCGGGAGCAAACAATGTGGGGTGTAAATGCGTTTTGAATACCATACAGCTAAATTTACACTATACTATTACATCGTGTATTCAAAATATGACCTGATTGTAGGTAAACCACACATGATTTGAAAGGTTGGGAGACAATAGAGCTAACCGTCAGAGGGAAAACAAGTTTCAGACTCGCTTCAGCTTCTTTCTTGGCTTTCTACATTCTTTAATTCTATGAGTACGTTTGTTCAGCGATTTGACCGTAATGTTTGTTTTAAGAGACATTCTAAGATTTTTGATTTATGATATGATGGTTAGCACTATTTTTCCACAACCCCTTCATTTCTAAAAAACATTAAGTAGTTGAGTACTACTACTACATCACTTGTTGATTCGCATTCGCGTAAAATACATACTTTTTACAGACTATTATTCCTTAACTTTACAGATTATACAATCTTTGAAGGAACAACACATTTTACTATGTACTCCAAATACAGAAACGCCCCCCCCTCGAAAATATGGAAATATTAATTTTCTTAGAGCCTTCCACGTGTGAAATATGTTACAATTAGTTTAAATATTTTTTTGGATCAACTATTTAGAAACGAAATATCTGAATAGTTAATATTTTCCTGCTGAGTATTTGTGAATTTAATTTTTTCGTTGGTGATGTAATGATTTTTGATTGAAAATATTTAAATTTTATTAATATGATATTTATACTACAATGTGTTGTAAATTATTAATATCAAGTGGGGTTTTCAAAATTACTTACAGTTTTCACTTGTGGAATACTCTTAGTCCTCTCTTGCACATCACCCATAAATTGAGTTTCCAAATCAATCGCGGTATAAGTTTTATAAGAAACGAAAAGTAATGGATGTAAGTACTTCATACTCTTACAAATCATCAGTGTGTAGAAATCGGAAGCAGATAATATTTAACATTCAGATAACATCAATCAAAGAAACAATGTAATTGGAATTAACGGTAAATTTTCTAGTTCGTGTTTCAAAGTAATCTCAGGCATTTAGATGTTCTATTAGTGTCGTTTAGTAATCAGGAGAGCATAGTTGATAAAAGGATGTTCCGAAATAGGTAACCTTTCAAAACAAGACTCAAGAAAACGCACAGATAATCTTCTCCCCCTACGTCACATACACTTTTTACTGCTTTTTTGACATAATAAATCTAAATCTAAATCTAAACACTGCCATGGGTGTTACCGTTGAACGCAGTGACGGAAAATTCCAAATAATTTGTTAAATAACTTTGTATTTTTAATTTGGCAGTTTTTCCTTTCGATTCCATGTAATAGTCAGTCACTGTGGGAACCAAGAAAAAAGATCTGTATGCCAATAGGCAACAAAGAAACAATGGTAGACCTGATTTACAATAGCGTTTTAAAAGGTTATGGTTTTTAATAATTTCTCGTTAACGAGCCCATGGATGCGTCTAGAGATCTGCTCCAAGTGCCAAAATCGGGACTTTGCTAATTCCGCGCTATTCAATCAGATTGATTCATTGATATTTCCGGCAACTGCTAAGATTGAGAAACTATTTTGAAACTAAAATTGAGAATTTATCAACTGCTAAGATCATTAGTCACGTAAGCGCAGTGCATGTTTTATCGTGGGAGGTGGCAATGATATTTACCCGGTGAAAGGCGACTGTAGGAGAATGCTAGCGGCCGGCTGCTCTGATCGGTAGTTTTCCGTGTTTTTTATCTATCATCATCATCATCATCATCATCATCATCATCATCATCAGGTGAATGCAACCTCACAAACGTACCACAGACAGCGCGGGATCTTTCCTTCATCTCCCTTGTCCTACCCTTTCCCCTACACGTACTTACACTTACATGCACTTTACTTCCACACGTGTCAACTTTGTAAACATGTCTTGTCCCAACTGTCACCAAGATGCTGTAACCGCCATCTCATGTAAAATTTCGGTTCACCTCTGCAAATCGGCACTTTTTGAACGGCTATCACTCAAAAATAATCCCGTGAAATAGATTTTCTATTTGAATTACTAAGATTGCAAAACATAATATTAGTAAATAAAGTAGGAACTAATAACACATTTATTCCACGTAAAAATCATAAAAAATATAGATAGCAACAGAAAAACATTTTAATACTATTTTGGATCTGATTCATTATTATAACGATTCGACTCCGACGTCGCGAGATCCGTGAACGAAACGAAGAACGAGTGCATTCTGTTTCGTGGTTCAAATCAGAACGACACTTTTTAAATAAAAAAATAATTTTGACATCAAACGATTTGGAAATTATGCGTTGAATAGCCTCAAGAATGTTTTATGCGAATTGCGCAGACTGAAGTTACAAGCTCCGTCATGAACTTCGACTAGCATAGCGAAGTGTCAAAGCTGCCTTAATGTTTTTGGCGAAAAATTACTTCAGATCAAAATTTTCATGGACTCGCCTTAGTTTGAGGTTATAAATACAAAGCCATTCCACTTGCAGACTTGTGTTGTCGTTCACGATGTTCTCGAAGACGTAAGAGAATTTATTCGCATTCGTTACGATAAGAGAGACGAGCCGTTCTTTTTTATTTATTTATTTATTTATTTATTGTAAAGTTGTTTAAAAATTCTTAAAGGTAACCAAAAATAAAATGTGATCGCATAAAAAGTCAACAAACTTTAAAAAACGTGAATCATTAGTAGCGTTTTGCCATAGAGGAAAGATACATCACAATGAAACATATATCTCTACTCTATGCGTTTTGCTTGAGCAACATCTTTAGTACGTGACGCCATCTTGATCAATCAGATTTCAGTGCCGTGCAATGCGTTTAGCGAGAAACTATCCGCATTTGTTTCCACAGAAACGTAGAAAAATCCTGAGAAGTTGACATACCTCTATGAAAATATGGAAATGAATAACCGAAGCTTTCTCGTGTATGCGCAGTAGTAGTCAATACAATTGATCCAAAAACTGAAGAAAAAATGGAAAACGCTCGTGCTGGTGATTGTGAGTTCACCATTGATCTGCGAGCTCGGAATACAATTCGACGGCAGTTGCAGGGGGGGGGGCTACAACATTCGTGACGCGATTCATTTGTTTTATGCTTTGATATACCAATACGGTTGAAATACTAAAATTCCTTGTTCGTCCACGAACTGTCAACCATCTAATTTTATTCCTAGTATAAAACTTTCTTAAAATAATTTAACATATGCTCATGATAATTATTATCCCTTTCTTGAGAATCTAGTGATTAAATCAATCTATTGTAATAAATATAAATATATTTATGATATTTTGAACAAACATAACCTCAACAACGTATTTATTGCAATAACAAAGATCGATTAATAAATTCGTACATAGTACGCTATCGCAATAATTAAATAGTGTATTTATTTACTGCAGTAAGGTGTTTTAAACATTTCGAATGTTTGGAAACGTGGTTTTGAATTTGGGAACGACATTTCGGACCAATCGCAACTGGCTCTTCCTCTTGTTACTTACTCCATGCCCTCGAAGTTCTTACGCCATGGCAGCTGCCCTGGGCGAGGGTTCGCGGGCGGGGTGGGGGTGTCGCCGGGAAGCCTTCTCCGGCAGATGACGTCAGACCGCCGTCACGTTGGCAGCTTCGAGAGACCTGCGGGCAGTTGAATGGACGATAAGTGAGGGAACAGAACTCAGCTTGAAAATTACAGCGAGGTCCGAATAAAACAAGATTGTGGCCACGGGGCTTGAATCTCGGACCTCCCGGTTCGAAAGCCACATTCCTCCCCCTGCCCGCAGGCAGACCAAATCACCCCTACAAACTCCTAACCAGACCGAGAGGGGAGAGTTCTTCTAATAGGCGGTGATTGGTGATTGGAAAAGTCCCAACCCTGACACGACATAAAAAGCAACTCGGAACTACGCGGGAGTCGATCTCACCACTACATTCACGCCAACTGGATATTCCAAGTGAAGTTTACAGCTCCAAATAAACTGATAAGGATTGAATCCAAACGTACATAAATATTACAATATCAGGAAAATTTTTGACGATCAATTTCGGGACATTTGAAAAGAAGTTAAGGAACAGCGAATTGAATAAATTAATATTATAGAAAATTAATAATAATTTCTCTCTTTATTTGCTAAACCTTCTAATGACGAATCTGATGAGCCTTGCGATTGAGATATGACAAGCAACTTAAAAGCAATTTGTAGTGGAATAAAGTTACAATGCGTAGGCAAGTTACTACAGAGATAAAAATGAGATGTTACTGTAGGTACCCAAAGTATTTAAAAATCCACTGAGTTTGCCTTAAATTGACTGAGACGTAAAGAATTTGGGATTATCAGCAAGGTCCCCGAAAAGACGGCTTGAACGCTTTTCTCCAAAGATATAACAATTCCCCAAAACTGCAAAATTCATTAAAATAATTCCCAAAATGTGTTGGAAATTGTTACCGCAAACATAAATTACCGTTTTTATGAAAATATCGCAATCAACTTACATGGCACCGGTTTTTAAAAATAATTATATCGGATAATATTACCAGATAAAAGGCCTTACTTCTGTGACAGTTCAATGTTCCAAGAACATTGAACACACAAGTTCGTGCACGTCGCAGCATTTGAAGTTCCCGCCCGAAAAGGCGGTCTCAGTCATAATTATTCGGTGCCAGGGATCGAGGCAGCCCTTTTCTATCAACCAATCAGGGCGAGGCAGAAACAGAACACGTTGCTTCAGTTCTGTGGTGAACACTGCAGTGTGAGAAACGAAAAGAATACTGCTACGAAAGTACACTACTCACTGTGATTTTATGTTAGAAGGTAAATGATAGAAAAGGCTTCTGAAAGAGAGGTATGTTGTATTAACTCATGTTTCAAAGCTTGGAAATAAAATAAATGTCGTTAAAAGACGAAATGTGAGAAGGGTGTGCGGTTGTGAATAAGATTATAAAACAAAGCATTTCCAATTTCACCTTTTCCTTTCTTCTATTTGGGTCGGTATTTTATGCTTGTAACTATTTGATTCTCCGCAGTTGTTGCTATTACACATTTTACTTCAAGAAACCGGAGGAGAAATGGTTGAGAAGACATTCAGTTCGAACATGCTGTATCTTACTACTATGACGAGGAGAACGCCCGGCCTCTACAACTGCACTGCCGTCCATAGACATTTGCTCCAGCTCGAAGTAAGAGTATTATCAATTATTTACAGAGGAAAAGCAGAAACAGGATAGTATCATAAGTAGAGAATGTTATAATAGTCTGTAAGCTGTTTGATCCAGACGTCAAGGTCGGTAACACAGCAACTGAGGTGGGGTATAACGACAGTAGAGTTGGGAGGACAGAGCCTTGGACAATACTAACACATACAGAGAGTAATTATACCTTTTGTAAATAAAAAAAGGGAATTCTTCTCAACTTCCTGCGCTACTTTATTGGCTATAAATGCATTATCAAACTGCAAGTATATGCAAGGAATTCGCGACAGTTTCGTGCTGAAAAAAAAGAGTGGATATGTTCATAGTTCGGTGTATAAAGGTTCGTGAAAGTCCAGGCGTGAGGAAATAGAATGTAATAAATATGTATTTATGGTTATGTGGTCTATATAGGAAATTGAGAAACACGATTTTTCACCTATAAGGGTAGTTGTTTAATGAAGGTTTTGTGTGACAATACACAAGCATTGAAAGTGAAGCTAGTTGTGAGTGAATGCCATATTCTGATTTTAGAATTGCGTTTTGATTACGATGTGTGACGAGAATTTGCTATATGTCCTAATCTGAAAGAGTAATTTTGTTTATGATGAAAAAGTCTGTCTACCAGTATTTGAAGCCATAATCCTCTTCTCGAGTTAAGTTCCAATTTAGATACTTCCAAAATATAGGATAAAACAAACATAGTATTTTCTTAGAATTTCTTCACGACAGCTTAAGTTAGTTTATTGCTCCCTCGCCAATCGACGAGTAAGGGATTACCGGAGAGCAGATCAGCTGGCGCCATCCTCAGGCCTGGTGGTAATTCATTGTCCTGAGTGAAGTAGGGGGGAGGGGGCATAGGTCTTGAAAGCAAGTAAGGCTGTACCATCGTTTCCGATTAAGTTAAAACTAAAGCGTTGAATAGTGAAACTAAAAAAGCAGTTGCATATTAAAATTTTAAAAAAAATTAAATTTTCAAAATTTAATGATGAATTTTTCATCATTTTCCCCAATTTTTATCACCAATATCAGCGAAAATACCACGTTTTATGGTGTAAAATACCAATTTGGCTATCGTAGTGTTTATTGATGGTGGCATGTACTCAGAACACGAAATAAATGAGTGCGCTTATGGATTCAAGTAAGTTTCCTATTACTTGAGAGATTATTTTTTTTCTTTTTCAAATATTGTTAACCACCCTTCTTTGGTACTTTTATTCATCATTCAGTTAGCTAAAGATATAGTCGAATAGCGGAGAAGGGATTTTAGACCTCAATAAAACTCACTCTGAGTATTATATATCTCTATTTACATATTAAAGCTAAATTATTACATACGAAAACTCTATTTACACTGTAACGTTTGTGTACAGCTACTCGTATTTACACAAACTAAAGCCAGTTTTGATTGGAACTTGGACGTCATCGATAGTTTATTTTCTATAATTCTTTGGCTTCAGGGGTCTGCAAAAACTCTTGCCGTTTTAATTAGCTTGCGCTCGAAATACTAAAATTTTTCTGTCAATTTCGCGCGGAAACTTCTCCCAACCCGAGGCGAACTGACAAATAAATGCAATTAGTCCACGAAATGATTTGTGCGCCAGACCAGTAGGCTGGAGCGGCAGTTGCTAATGCCTCAATGTGTCAGTCCATTGCGAGTTGACGGAGGATAGAGATAGTTTTCACGAGTGATTTACATTTTTGCAACACAATCTCTAGAAATAAAGGTGTAAGAATTGATACAAATTATTTCGAAAAGGAGATAGTTGTGGGTGTACATTAAGGCCTCAAATGGATGTAAACGAATGGGCCAAAAATACCAAATTTCGAAGATCCCGCGATATTTCTTTCATGACGCTTTATTTGAACTTGCAATAGAGAAAATTTTAATCACAAAATTATGAATTTAAATAACAGTTCTTAAAAGCGATGTGTTGAAAGTGTACTTTTCTTGCATTCTAACTAGATAAATTCATTGATATTATGTAAACGTTCTCCATTTGGCGGAAGGGTAAGAATAACGGATTAAAGCGGCCCAAGCACACGTTAGCTAACTTTTGTGAAATAAACGAGAATAATTTGTGCGTGTTTTTCGCCGACTGCACTCCTAGATTTGATTTGGCATGAGTGAATGAAGGGATCAGACAATATTGTTATCTTTTCAGTGCAGGTAGATTGAAAATATTAAGATTGCAGGTTTAGCCATAATTTTGTTCTGGTAATATTTCTTTTCCTCAACTAGGCTGCTATTTTGAAGCATCTAAAAGTTTGTTGAGAAGATAAAGTATTGTAATCGTGCGGCGAAAGTATTGTAAACGGCGAATTTTCGAAAAACTCTTCTTGCCGTACCCTAGTAACTGAAAAGTAGATAAATCTTGTACCTGTATATAGAAAACTACTTCCTTCAACACGTCAGAATTCGTTTTGCGTGTCCTTGATACCGAAAATTTGAATGACGTCAAAATGTATGTCTGTCCGTTTGTCAATGCTGGCGCCTAAACGGTTCAGACGATTTTCATCACAATTGATATTCCCCTTTCGATTTAATGGAACTCGAGGTTCTGCGAGTTAGAAACGGATAATTTGATTTTGAGAGTACTTTGCAAAAAGCTCAAAATTTTCCATTTTTTCTAAAAACTCCAAATTATTGGAAAAAAATTTGTTCTCAGATAGCGTAAAAGATGATTTAGAGAATGGTGCAGGTGTCATGTTCGTTGAAATCCATTGTTTTGAATATTGCAAAAGTGCAATATTTTTTGGCCGTCTTCGTACAACTACAATACTGAAGAGAGAGATTGTTATGTTTGAAGACATCTTGATATAACATGTTCAAGTTTTTCGAAAATATGAGTAGTATTCGGCTACCTTTGCGCGAAATATAGGCAATTTTATTTTTTAAACATTTTTTCTCTAAAACGGCACCAAATCTTCTTTTTAAATTCTCTGCTTTTATAATTACTATTTTAAAAAATTACGCCAATTCCTTTTCCATCGAGCTCTGCGTTTTCGAAAAAAGCAAAAGGGTAACATTCCAGAACTTCAAATTTCAAGATAAAGATTTTTGGTTTAAAACAAAATCTGTTCTAAAAAAAAATCAGACCTTTAAAACTGCGCATGTTAATTTTTTAAAAAAAAGAGTTGGTTTTGCGCAATTGCTGATTGAGGTTAATGCAAAATTTATAAAAAAACATTTTTTCAAAAACCTCACCAAGTTTTTTCACAGATAGAACAAAGACCGCTTAAAGGAAAGGCGCAGATCTAATTTTCATTGAATCCGGCATTTTCGAAAATCGCAAATTTTTGAAACAACGCGTGCTGTTGGACCCCATTAGGGTGTTGTGTGGAGGAAATGAATGCGAAGGGGGCCGTGTGGTTGCTTACCCCGCGCATCGCTCGCCTATAGTGGGCACCGGCGATGTGGAGGCGGGCGGCGCTTTGGCGCATGCGCTGGGAGCGGGGGCGGAGGCGGCCGTGCCCCGGGCGGCGGCAGACAGGTTGCGCCCTATAGGGCAGGCGGCAGCCGCGGCAGAAACAGTAGAGCCTGTGTGGTCGGCGTTGCAGACGGCCTGTCCCTTGAGGGCGAGGGAGAGAGTCGGCCTCTTAGCGCTGGCGGCGGTGGCGGCAACGGCCGAAGAAGGGACCGGAGTGGGCGCGGCGATGGAGGCAGCCGGCGTCTTGTGGGTGGCGGCGGTGACGACAGCGATGGAGTCAGCTGACCACTTGCGGTTGGGGAAGACAGCTGGCTGCTTGGTGATGGTGGAGGAGGAGGCGGCGGCGGCGGTAGAACCTTCAAGTAAATAAAATTGATGAGTAAATATCTTTTGATTCTGGTAATGCTCAGATCGTGCATTTGTCAATTGGGAAAACTTCATTTGTCTTTGTGAATACCTGTATTTGTCTTTGCGGATATTTACATCAGCCATTGGGGATCCTTACATGTGTTTTGGATATACCTACTTTAGGCTTTCGGGCTACCTGAATTTGATTTTGGGAATACGGACATTTGCCTCTGAGATACCTGAATTTGTTTTTAGGGATACCAGCATTTTTCTTTGGGGATGTCTGCACTTGCCTTTGGAGATATCTGCACTTGCCTTTGGAATACCTGCACTTGTCTTTGGGGATATCTGCACTTATTTGGGGATATCTGCATTTACCATTGGGATACCTGCTTTGTGCTTGGGGGATACATGAATTTGATTTTGGATATAGCTACTTTTGCCATTGGAATACCTGCATTTGCCATAGGGATAGCTGCCTTTGCATTTAAGAATACGTACATGGGGCGTCTGGCGGCGGCAGCTCGCAGCTCCTGGCCGGGCGCAGCGCGTGGAAGAGGTCGAGGGTGGCGGGGCCCAGGCGGCTGCGGTTGCCCCGCGCCTCCTCCTCCTCCCCCTCCTCCTCCTCCTCCTCCTCCTCCTCCTCCGCCCGCGCCTGCGCACGCCAGCACACGCCTTTCAACGTACAGGCTATACAACACTAAAAGAAGACTCAAAGTACTTTATTAAATAAAAGTGAGATTATATTACTAGTAACAGGGGGGAGCTCTTGCACATTGTATCTGAATGCAGCCAATGAGCTTCAGACACCAGTTTACGTCACTATATTAGCGGGAATTTTAAATGCAGCCAGATACCAACATTGACCTGGTTATAAGACATTGAAACAGATTTATGAAGCATATATTTTAAATATTGCGTCTTGTACGCCTTTGTGTTGTTTTTGGTTGATTACCGTTTAAAATTGTCAATTTATGCCACTTTCAAAATGTTTCTCAACATTTCGCGCTCTCCATGCAACATGGCGGCTTGAGACTGGTCTGGCGTTTCAAACGAAGTGCCTGTGCTGTGGTCACGTGGTTCGTGACGCAAACTGGTGCTGCCCTGGACGAGTAAAAGTCGGTGCGTCCGAGTAGTCCACCCATATCTTTCCACCATGACTATTGTTCGAATACTGTTTCTGTCTACTTGACAGGGGGATGGAAGTAGAACGATGTTGCCACTTACCCGTGTGGCAGACAAGTGGTCGTTTTTGCATCTGATTACGCAGTAGCAAGAAACGAACAGCAATAAGATCACATAAGAGCGGACGTCACAGAACCGCACACACGATGCAGAACCAAATAATTAATGGCGCTCTTAAAAATTGCAGTTGCTTCGCGCTATGTGATTTCAGTTTTTTTCTTAACAACCATCGGCAACTCGGCAGTGACATTACAATTGGAAGCCTCTGATTGGATAACGGAAGACCCTCTCCCCTGTCAGCCAAGAGCTGTCAAGTTGACAGAAGAACCGTGTGTTCGTAGGCTTCCGCGGCTGGAATCATTACATAATTGGCTGTCCGGGATGCGACTCGTCATAGCCGATCGTGCTGACGTTTCGGGCATCGTGTTGTGGCGTTCCTCACAGCTATATGGCATATTTCTGCTTGTTTCTGGCGGTTTCTGCTGGGCAGTATAGCCCTGAAGAAGGCCACCACACGGTGTCCGCAGCGTCAGCTCGCTCGACTGCGACGTGGCTCGTCCTGGGCAGCCACGCATCAGAGGCAGCGGTAGCGTTTGCAGTGCGGTGCGCACCCGCGCGGAGGCGACGTGGCCCAGCGACGCCAGTAGAACGGCCTCCCGGGCGCGCAGCAGCCCCGCGCTGCCGGCGGGGGCGGGGGCGGGCGGGGGCGCGGGCGAGGGCGCCGGCGCCGGGTCGAGGCGCGTGGGGCTGGTGGGCGCAGACTCCGGCAACGCGCGCCCGCCGCTGCTGCGACCTGCGCACATGCCCTTCACTTAGAAAGCACACGACGCACATGCCTCGCTGCCAATGCGCACGTGGAAGACGACACACTGCGTCTCACTACAGCTACACACACAGACACACAATGCCGTTCAGTTTCGAAGCACACATGAGCACACGCGATGCGGCATCGATGTCGATGTTTTCAAAACATCGATGTTTCTATAAAAATATCGATGTTTTAAACGTCGATGTATTCAAGTCGATGATTTTTGAACATCATTGTTTTATGCTCGATGTTTTTACGTTCTCATTGTTTCATTTCTGGATGAAAAAATCAGACAATCACAATTTTGTAATAGTTATAAATGAAATAATAACTGATGGCTCCTCTAGTTGTGTGTTCGTACCATAGGAACGCGGTTTGCACTGCTTTTATTGAACAGACTGTTTCTCGCCCGAGAGGATCCTGATACCCCTGATTACCATCCTGTTTCATCGTATTTCGCACAGGAGGATTCTTTTTTAACTGTTTAAAATACAATTTTAATTATTAATTAATGTATTAGGTCTTTCAGAAATACATTTTTGTTGCGCCCACATTTAGCGTTAGTTTATTAAGGTAGATTTAATACATCGATACTTAAAAACATCGATGTATTTTGTTTCATATATTATTAATATAGATGTTTTTTGACATTGATATTGGCAAACATCGATGTTTTCTTGTTGGTGTTGCATCACTGATGCGCACACGCTCTCTCAACCACAAAGCAGTTAACGCATATGCCTCTCGACCATAAAGCACGCTTGCGCACGTGGCAGACGGCAGAGTTGAGTCTTATTACACACACACACACACACACACACACACACGCACACATACACATATCACGACACAACAGCGTGTCTTCGCTCAGAGGGGGAAACAAAAAACTGTCTACATAGCACGGTATGCCGCGACTGAGCATGTTAGCTCACATCTCAGCCGCAGAATAAAAAGAAACAGGAAGGGACGTAGACGGCGATTCCTTTTCCTTTTTCTACGAGATGCGGCGAGATTTCGCCGGTCGCCATTTTGAAACCGAGTAATCACAGTACTTGTGTACACAAGTACAACTCTAGTTTTGAACTAATGCATTAAAAATGTAATTATACAACCGGTTACACAAAATTCTTGAAGTAGAAACTGCAAAGAACGCGCGACACACAATCAGAACAAAGAAGCTGCGGCTCCCAGCCAATGCCACATAGGGTACAAGTGACCCAGGTGGCAGTGGGCAAGCAGTGTACTTGGTTTCAACATGGCGGACACAGCATGAATTTGGGGTGCGGAGTGCAGGGAAGTTTTCATTCTGCATACTTTTCTATTCTGTGGCTCAAGTACGCATACACTACTGCCACCACATAATGCACAGTCTGGGCAGAACTGCTTCTTTATTACATCCAAGTATTTAACATACTTTTTAATCGACACCAACATAAAAATGAATTATCTTTTAGGTTTGAAAATATATTAAATACTTTTATAAATTTATGAATGCGTGCTTAGACAATTTGTAGCTCATCCAGATATGTCTGTAAGTCCGCCTGATTTTGCTGTCCATTGATCGCTGTGACTATTCTGACTTTGACACACGAGAATAATAATTTTCACAGAATGATGTATTTCCATCAACGTATTCAGAATACTTGGCCGGCCTGAGCTTCACAGCTTCGTCACAGACCTCTAGACACTGAGACAATTGTAATGCCTACGGCTGTATTTTTCCCCCACCGGGAATCAAACTCGGGATCGCACCACGGAAAGCTAGCACACTGTGCACGAGCCAACCGAGAAGCTTTGATACCATATTGAAATAGAAATGCAGGAATTTGTGAAATACGCACTGCGGAGCTACGCCCCTACGCATACGGCACGGAAGGCTAAATTTAGTTTGTACGGTAAAATCTGTGTAATCAGGAACCTGCACAAGTCGGAAACCTGCCTTAACCGGAACATTTTCTGGCACGTGAAGTTATATGGTATTTTACAGAGCATAAAACGGAATCTGTCCAACGCGGAAACGGCACGGTTTTGCATGTCCTTCAGTGGAAAATATCTTAATAAAACGGAATTTGAGGTTGAAGGAAAGGAGTCCCAAGATGATTAATAGACAGACACGACTCTTCTGAATTTAGTATTATTACATCTCTATGTTACAATTACTCGAATGCGGAACAGTTTCGGGGACATATTTTCCCCATCCTCAGGCTAAAAAGAAAAAAAGGTAGAAAAGAATACAGTTTGAAAGGTTAAATTACAGTATGTTACATTAGTACACTCGTCAGATTATTAAAAGTCTTATTTAGTACATTAAAAAATTATGCAAACCATAAAGGTTCGTTTTTGTTGCGCATTCGAGTAATTGTAACGTAGAGATGTAACAAAACTAAATTGAGAAGAGTCGTGTCTGTCTATATATAAACCTTTCCTTCAACCTCAAATTTACAGAGACAGGCTTACTCCTACCTTTGCAATAAAACGGAATTCCTGCGTAGTTTTACAATTAGCAGAGACGCGAGCTATTCGTAATATAATGAATGCATACGCCCGTCTGTTTTAAATTCTTTACTACTGTAACACGCAATTCAGGCGTTGCAGCCTCACTGGGAAGGAGAGAAGCTTCAGATATCAGCGTAGGATACGCCTTAAGTACGCTTGTCTCTTAAGACTTGGACCGTAGGGAAATTCCCTTCCGACTCACTGAGCGAGAGATGTAGGGGCAAGTCGTCTATTCGCAAGCCTGCCTGCCGCGCGATCAAAATCGCAACCCCTCGGCCAGACACGCATTGCTCAGAGGCATGCGAGGGTACCAAGAAGTCGGTACTTTGGAATGTGACGCAATGAGCGTTGAAATTCAGCTAGCAGTGCGACTGCAGCTTCTAGGCAGTGAGGTGGTGTGTATTTTCAGTTTCACAACCAGTTTAACAATGGTTTTAAAAAAAAGGTCTAAAGTCTTGATGAAAAGCTCAAACTTAGAAAACCTCAAAAGAAAGAAAAGAAGAAAACCTCAAAAGCTGTCAGTGAAGAATGTTTAATATTGATTCATTGGCGAATTGTTCTGTAAATAAGTTATAGGTAAATGTATTTCATAATAATAAAATAATGTCCGGTAATTTTTTCTTTAATTACCACTTTACTTACTTTAATTTATTGGTTTCAGGACGGAAGTATAAATATCATAAAATAGTATATAAGTGTCATAAAATAGACACCCTGCATAAAACGGGAACCTCCCTAAACGGGAATTTGTTTTTGTCCTGATCGATTCCGGTTTGCACAGATTTTACTGAAGTAGTTCAGGTGGTTTCATCGGTAACGGTGACCTCTGCCCGCGACATGTCGAGGCCTTTCTCCCTCGACAATACCAAAGAGACGTGTGCTGGTAATACGGTTGTGAAGACATAAGCAATATTAGAATTATTTGACTTCGTTACACGTTATGTTACTTGATGTCCCTCATTCACGATAAAATTGAAAGACGTTCGACGTATTGACATGAAGCGTCAAAAAAAATGGTGTACGAAAAAGTGGCAAGTTGTTGCACTTTCCTGTCTTCATGGGAGAAAACGAATATTTATAAAGAGATTCGGAGCCATTTCCCTAAAAATTATAATTCTGTATTTATAAAATTTTCCAAACTGAATTTATTTTCAATCTTCATAAAATGTAGCTTTTGACACCAA